ATCGCCTACGTGGTGGCTACGAACTGTACTTAACTCCGGCTCCAGGGGAAACCGAAGCCCTCTTCCGACCTCTGTGGCATTGCACAACACAGGTGTACTCATATACATGCAAGCAATATACTCATATACATAAAATAAAAATAATAAATAAATACTTAAAAAGGGAGTTACATCACTGTCCACCAAATAGGTAAACAAAATTCAATGCTGTTTGTTATGAATAGCATTTAAGGTCTATTATGCTTTGTGGTAAACACTTGAATTGTATTAATGTATTTAACCTGTGACTCAGTTGTACAAGGGAAGCAATTGCAGCCCAATTTCTATTCCAATATTCTCATATTTAGTTTACAAATGCCAGTTGACTGGAATTTGAGCAGTATAAGCTCAATCCATGTATGTGTATGAATGCATTTATTTTTTCAAAAGCATGAAAACATTAATAAAACTAAAAATGAAAGTTGAACAGTGAAGTAGGTAATTACTAAACTAATTAGCGAGTTTGGAAGAAGAATTTGGCAGGTCATATTCTCTGGTGTTCATTTTATAAAACAATGACTAAAATTTTCCTCATCTGAATAAGGTAAAATGATCCGTGTTCATAGTCAGTAAAAACGGGATGGATACTAAAGACAGAGGCAGCTCTAAGCACATGGTTCTCAGTACCTGCTGACAGGAATCCCTGCAGAAGTGACCAGTGATGGAGTCCTCCATCAGATGACCTGTTCTGCCTGCAATACCTCTGTCTCCCTGTACCCTGCCTGCTTCGTGCTTGTGAACACTTACACAGACTCAAATAGCTTTCTTGCTGTTCATATAATAGTCCTGTAATAAATGATCAGTTAGTAGCTTGGCAGGCACACTGTCTTCGTAACTGTGGCCACTGGTGTCTTTCTGTTTTGTTTTTCTTTTTACAATCTCAGAGTCCATTTCACTGAACGGTGCACCAGGCAGGCGAATCTTTCATAACACAGTACAGAGTTAGTGGACAATAAAATGAATTCAAGAAATAAAACACTCATAAGAAATTCATACTATGTGAGTATTTAAGTGGCATATAAAATAAGGGTGAGTAACACTCCAGATTCGCATGTGGCATCACAGGGAACAGTTGAGGGTCAGGCTCCTTCCAAGTCTCACATGATGGTTGGTGGAGACAGAGCTGAACCCAGAAGTCAATGTTATGAGCTGCCAATTCAATATTAAGGTAAAATTGGCTAGCTAGACTTAGCAGTAAAAGTTTTAGCAAAGTAAAAAGTAAAATACCAAATCAAGAGGTATTTCAGATTGCCCTGGACAAATATTTAAATGCAAATCCAAAGTATTCTAAATTCACATGCCTGTCCTTTGATTATTTGTACTGCAGACTATGACCAGAACAGTGATGTAGTGAATTCAATTTCTGTGTTAAAACCAGACAGGGAACGACCAACTAGAAAGCAAATTCCATAAAGAAAACAACATCAGGCTTAAACGAGAGCAGATTACATAACGAGGCTTTACAAAATGGAGAAATGAAGACAGCCAGTGCTGGAAGGTTTGTGTGGCTAATGTCCTTCAGGCTTGCTGATGGGAAGTAGCGAATGTTAAGCATCCTAGAAACTTCTTAAAGTCTATCTTACCAGCACTGATTAAATGATGGAATACCAAACATCGCCAACAGTCCTTTCCGAGGACTGAGAAGAGCATTTTTTTTTATCTCAATTACTCTTTACATTTTCTTGCAATTGCCTGTCTTATGAATTCATCGCTCTGATGGCAGGATCAAGAATAAAAATGCAGACAAGAAAACACGATACACGCGTTTATCTTTTAAATATGGGACACACATAAAATAGATACAGGAAGGCAGCTTCTTACAATGAACAATAGCAGTAAGCACAGCCAGCCCCTCTTTCCTGATAACGCAGAGCAAAGGCAGGCAGGACCCTTTTGATTGTGTAATTCTTCCCCTTAAAGTTAGTAATCAGGGCCAAGTCATATGGAATCCTAGATGATTTCCTCTGTGATTTGATTTTTATCTTGCATCTGTGGATTACTCCCACATGGTCCACAGGCAGGAGGAAGCAACACCACACAGTAAGGACTAGGCCTCTCTGAGTGATGGGCAGCAAGTCCTGAGCTGACTGGCAGGATGAGCTTTTCTGAACAGGAGAAGCATCTAAAGGCCAGGGACAAGTTCAATACTTGAGTGTAGTTTTATACCTACTGGTCTCTCCCAAAAAGCACAAAGAAAGAGCTTTACCTGACTGTTACTGGTCACGGTCAGGGACAAACACCCACATCATGCACTTGCTGAAAACAGTACCAAATCTGTAAATCATCATGATGGTTAACTTTTTTTTTTTTTTTTTTTCTTTAACTTCCACATTGGTTTTCTATTTTCTATCTATTAGCTCAAGGGTAGAAAAAAATAATTAGCTTTTCTGAGATAAATACTAGTAGATATTTAAAAAGTAAGGGATTGTCAAGGGATTTTTGTTAATTATACATATTTACTTTGCAAAACTTTTATATAACATTGGCAACAAATCGAGCAAAAATTGTCTACTGGTATGGAACAGTATATTTGTAAACAAAACATTTGGCATAATGCAAAGTAGTTACTTTTCATTTTACCTTGACATTTATGATCTCTATATTCAGTTAGTGATGTGCCTTTAGTAACCAATCACAAGGCATTTACATTCAGTTTTGCGTCCCTGCAAATCCACAGGAGTAACCGCTAAAAAACTTGAGATTGGAGGAGAGTCCAAATTATTGTGCCCAGATGTTGAGTTTTCCAAAATTCTGATGAAAACTTACAACAGAAAACATGAGTAAAAATGGAATGGCACCGTTTTCCTTGATTGATTTCCCAGAGCAAGAAACAACTAGCTTTCCTTTGGAAAAGGTGATGGCCTCAGTGGATTAGGTTTTTGTTTGTCATGAAGCCCATCACTTCAGTAAGGTTTATCCAGGCCAGGTTTTAGTTATTCAAATTTCCTAAACACCAGGGCCTTTAGGAGGACATGCCAAAATCCCCACTATTTCCTTCCTTCCTCTCTCCCTCCCTCCCTCCCTCCCTCCCTCTTTCCCTCCTTCCCTCCCTCCCTTCTTTCCTCCCTCCTTTCCTTCCTTCCCTCTTTCCTTCCTTCCTTCCTTCAGCTCTTCCTTCCTTCAGCTCTTCCTTCCTTCCTTCCTTCCTTCCTTCCTTCCTTCCTTCCTTCCTTCCTTCCTTCCTTCTTTTTAAGACACACCCTGCAGAAATCTGTGGCAATATGAATCATTCCAGAAAAGAAAAGAACTACAGATAAGTACGTGTGTGTAGCAAAATATTTTGACTTAAAAACAGTTTCCAGGGCTGGAGAGATGTTTCAGCAGTTAAGAGCACTGGCTGTTCTTGCAGAAGACCCAGATTTGAGTCCCAGCACCCACATGGTAGCTAACAGCCATTTGTAAATCCCATTCCAAGAGAGTCAACACCCTCTTCTGTCCTCCATGGGCACTGCAGGACATGGGTGCACTAACACACATTCAGGCATTACACTCATACACATAAAATAAAAATAAATAAATCAAACAAAATTTTTAATTAAAAATGTTTCTTTTCTATGTAGCTAAGAATCTACAGTAATTAATAGACTCAGGGAATATATAAATGCATGTTACAATTAGGTACATGTTCATGACTTAGTTAAAACTATATGCTGAGAATAAAGATCTAAATACATAAAAATGTACTGTTTCCGTCTCAACATGCTGCACACATTGCCTTTGGCTATGTTGCTCATAGTATTGATAACTTCATAATGTCAGCCATTTCTTTTATTGCTGGATAAATGTAGATAGATATAAAATAGAAATAGATGATAAGTGAAGAATAAGTCATAGGCAGATGATAGAAGATAGGAGAAGATAAATGATAGATTAATACATACATAGTAAGTACATGATGAATAGATGATCCATAGGTAGATCGATGATAAATGAGTAAATGAGGGATGGATGGTAGATAACAGAGATATATTAAATGTTAAATATGTGATAGAGACAGATGATTGAGATGAGAGCTAGATAGATGATAGATACACAGTGGATGATAGATGATAGATAGAGATAGACAGAGATAGACAGAGATATTTGATAGATGATAGACAGAGATAGATAGATGATGATAGATAGATAGATAGATAGATAGATAGATAATACATAGATCAATAGATCGATAGATGTGGGATAGATGATAGACAATAGTTGATAGATAGATAGATGTTGGATAGATGATAGATGATAGATAGATATATGATTGGATAAATGATAGATGATATATAGATGTATAGATAGATGATAGATAGATAGATAGAAGATAGATAGATAGATAGATAGTAAAGAGATGATAGGCAGACAGATGATGATAGATAGATGGATGATATGATAGCAGATAGATGATGGATAGATGAGAGACCAATGATAGCCAGACGACAGATAAATTATACATAGGTCAACTACTACACTGCAGCTCATACAGGACATTTGGCTAAAAAGTTGGATGGCAAAGAAATAAGTGAAACAAGAGTTTTTACTTTGCTACAAACAACTGATACTTTGAAGAATAACAAGTAGACATATTTCTTATCTAGATTTTCAATTTTCCTTTTTAATTTCTTTAAAAAAGATTTTATTTATTGTTTTTATTTTATGTGTATGAGTGTTTTGTCTGCATGTATACACCCAAGGCATGCAATGCCTGTGGAGGCCAGAATAGGGTGTGAAATCCCCTCCATCTGGAGTTATGGATGGTTGTTAGTCCATATTGTGGGTCCTGAGAATCAAACTCAGGTCCTCTGGAAGAATAGCAAGTGCTCTTAACTGCTGAACCATCTCTCCAGTCCCTTTAATCTTACAATGAGACAGCAACCACCAATATTTGCAGACAGACATGACATGGCTTCATCTTAGACTTCAAAACCAATGAGCTTTGACACTTTTACTTAAAGACAAAATAAAACAGATCTTACCTTGTTTGCAGAGCATGAGGATATTCACAGCATATCTCTATGAATCCCTGTAAACAAAATGAACCATGTGTCAAAGGCACTTGCACACGTGAGCAACTATAAAACGCCCTGCTGCTTATCAAATATTTCTTCATAGCACCTGCTGCTGCTGTATTTCCAATTGCTCTACAAAGTCTCATAGATAGACTCACGTAATATATGCATGTATACACAGTGATAAAAGATGGTACTGAGGATTAAATATTATATTCACAGATATTGTATCTTCATCTGCTTCTTAGGTCTAGGTACTAGGTCCATCTAAAAATCAATACTTCAAATTTCAGGAGGAGTCTGGAAATGATGAACTCTTGTCCATCTAGATAAAATCTAGATAATAAAAGCTAGACTACTCTTGCAGAGGACTGGGTTTGATTCCCAGCATCCACATGGCAACTAACAATCACCCATAACTCCAGTTGCAGAGAATAGGATGCCTTCTTTTGACCTCCATGGTCATTGGACAACATGGGTGTACTTACACACAATCATCCATATAAAATAAAACATTAATTAAATATTTAAAAACACATGTGATCCAAAGGTGCTCTCTTTGCTGGGCATCTTCTTTCCCTGGAGGTAAGAATGGGCTTCTAACGTTACACATTACTACACAAATGCATTCATTTGAACTTCGTGACTGAAAATAATGCTCCCTGAGACAAATTCTTACTACTGAGCCCAAGCTGACCTTGAAGTTGAACTCATGATCCTCTTGCCTCTGCCTCCAGAGTTGTACTTAAAATTACTGCTGGGAGGCACCAGCGTGGTTCCTCCTCCCACTGTCCTTACCACCAACCAACACAATATTCCTTCAAAATACAGTTTAGGGAATAAAAATATTTGTTTGGGCGTATTAACAGAGTGTATGGTGACAATGAGGGGTACTTATGAAGGCACAGACTCTGTTGGAGCTTTCTTCCCTACATTTTCGTTGTGGTTCCTGCACTGCCCCTGCCTTGGAGCAGCTGGTTTAGCGCTGCTGTGCGCAGAGAGCAAGTGCTTTAGTCTCCTCAAGGCTTCTGTGTAGCCAGTGCCCAGACCCTTCTAGGTCAGAGTCAACATCCACAGTGCTTCAGGAAACCCATCACCTGATAGTGGCCACCACTCCACACAGAAGCATCCACACTCCCCTGCCTGACTGTTAGAGGGGCCGCACTCCTTCATGACCCACAGAAACAGTGAATCTCTCCAACTCTGACATGCTATGAAATGACTCAGTAGTCACAATCAGAACACCTATAGAGAGAAAATCACTCCAAGACAAATCCTTAGTAGAAAGTCGTTTATTATGAAGGTCATTCTATTAAAGTTGTACAGAGACCCACCAGAAGCAGAGATCTCAACTCAGGAAAATCACAAGAGTCTGAAGTAATGAAAACTGATGGACTGCCTGACAAAAAATTCTGAAGAAGGTGTTTTTAAAATTTCATTGAGATCCAACAATCCTGGAAATTAAAGAGATATTCAGCAGGGATAAAGATTTTTGAAAAGAACCGAACAAAAATGGGTTTGAAATATTGGAAAAACTCCAAAAAATTAATGGAAGGCCCCAGAAACAAACTAGATCAAAATAGCATAAAGAACAGGAGCTTGAAAATGTGCTTTAAATATTCATTTATTATTCCTGTGTGTGTGTGTGTGTGTGTGTTGTATGTGTGTGCGTGTGTCTGTGTGAGAATGTGATCACAGGTGACTGTGGAGGCCAGAAGAAAGCACGGGTGGGTGCCCTGGAGCTGGAGTTACAAGTGGTTGTGAGCTGTGGATATGTGTGCTGAGGTTTGAAATCTGATCCTCTGCAACAGCAGCAAGTGCTTTCAACCACCGAGCCATCCCTAAAGCCCTGAAAAAGGCCATTTTAACATAACACATTCAGACAAAACAAGAAAGAAAATTTTGAATTCACTCAAGATGTTTGTGGTGCCATTAAAAGCTGTAACCACTCCATGACTGCACACACAGAAGTTATGGTCTACAAGCAAGAACTGGAGAAAATGTATTCAAAGAAACAGCACCAGAAAATGTCCCTATCGTTGGGAATGGCCACACCGTGGAGACACAAGTGGCTTATAGGAGTACAGACAGAAAGTTTCAGGAGGGCATAACATATTCAAATTGCCAGCAGTTCTGTACAGAAAAAGAAAACCTGTTAGACAGTAGCAGAAGCGGAAACTGTAGACTAAACAGAAGCCCTATGGGCCAGGAAGCAGAGAAACGGACTGTTCAGATCCTGAGAGAAACTCATCATCAATTGCAGTCACCAGGCAGGGAATTCTTTAAAAATGAAAGCAAATTAAAGGACTTCAGGTGTGAACAAAAACTGAAGGAATTCATGACCACCAGACCAGCCTTACGAAGAATGTGTAAACAAGTGTTATAACTGGGACTCGCTCAGTGGCCAAGAAGGTATACTCTCTTGCAGAAGACTTAAGTTTGGTTCCCAGCACCTATATGGTAGCTCATCACCACCTGTAACTCCAGATACAGATGTTCTGAAACCCTCTTCTGGGACCTTTATTCATGTGCACAACACACACATATAAACATAATTTTAAAAATAAAATAAAAAGATCTTTTCAATAAAGGGGCCACATTCATGATGGTTGGATATGATCCATGTATGTGTGTATAGAAACATACTAATATATTCATTCATATTTGCTAAATATTATATAATAGTGCATACAAATAATGTGTTAGTACACTTTTAGGAAGTGGAATTCCATCATCTAGTGGTAGATATATGCTAATAGATTAATTCATTCCAAAATGTGACTTATAGTATATAAGCATCACTTATACATTATACCTAAATATACATTACACATAAATGAATTTATGACATAAATACATAATTTTAAAAATTTTCTTCCATTTGAAATAAATATCCTTTCTCAATATCTAGTCAATGTAATGTGTCTGGCAACCACACAGAAACTTTTGTAATGATAACCCATCACTTCTGTGGGAAACGCCACTGAAGATCAGCTGACAATTTGAGTGTCATAAATAGGATCTGTAAGCTGATTTCTAAAAATGGATTGGAAACCATAACAGGAAATATAGCTCTGAGAATCACACCTGCCGATTCACTGTTAGTTTCATCTGAGGGAAGCAGGTCAATAAAGATGGTCCCACCTTCATAGCGGAGGAGCAGGGCTGCACCTTCTAGCTTGGTACTGAGCAGTATGAAATGAATAAATTGTGATTCTGCTCCCAAATCTCCTCATGAGGGTAGGAGAAATGAATTTTCTGGCTATTGCTGTTATCCTACTTCCAGGAGCAGAGACAAGTCTCCACAGTCCAAGTGGATCACTTTGTGGTGCATTTACCCAATGAAGCTTCCAGGGAAGCCTCGTGGCAGCCCACCTCCCGCAGTGGGTATCTTCTGTTTCTGATATAAACGGCGACTGCTGCAGCTTTTCTACACGACACCACATATACACACTATAAGATACTTATTATCAGAATAGGGAGGAAGGTAGAGAGAGAGAGATTGGGTATTAAGACCCCATAGGTGTGCCTGTGACATTCTTTCTAGTCTTCGGTAAGTGATGGTGTCACATTGGGCATGCTTCGTCATCTCCTTAAGTCACAACCTAATTTGTTTTTTTATTAAGAGGATGTTTTAGTGGCAACATGTATAAAATAACCTATTACAGTCAACATAGCTCTAGTAATTTTTTATCTCTAACCCTTGGCTGTTTTTCAATGCTCTTCTCTTAAGCAAATGAAAGAGGTGGGAAGTGCTCCTTGTAAACACACAGGTGCAGTGCTCTGGTGCAGGGTGTGACTTGGGAGGAGTGCTGGGGAAGCAAGCAAGCAGTGTAGAACCAAATGTGTGGCTTCTGTGGGACTAAAGTAACAGTGAGGAGGCATGGTTACAATAGAGGCTGTTCTCTGCCTCCACGTGCCGGAAGCAAAGTTCGTGCACGTCCCTTAGTTAAGAAAGATGTCCCAAACCTCTGACCATTCAGACTTGGGAGAGTTTGAGGGGGAGCATAGCCTCCTCTCTCTCTCTCTCTCTCTCTCTCTCTCTCTCTCTCTCTCTCTCTCAGGGTTTGTCTACATAGGTTGAATCTGCTACTGTGACTGAAAAAACAAGTAAAATAAAATGAGAAAAAATGGAAACAGGAAAGGCACTGTGTACACTCATTTCTGCATAACACAGGAATGACCCTGATTCCACAGTTATTTAAATAGAGTTAATTTGTTAGGAGGCTGTGGAGCAATGCCCACCCCACCATCCATAGAACAACAGGCTGCCAAGCTCAGTTGCACAGTGGGCCATACCCGGCTATTTGCTCTGAGTACAATCCACCCAGTGAAATACTGTCACCGTTAGGACACAAGTAATAATATCTATTTGGAGCATGTGTTTAACCTGACTCTTATTATGAAGTTGTTCCTTTCGTCTAATAAGATATAAAGGCCCTCAGTTTATTGCTTTTATTGAATTGGATGTATGACAAGGGAGTAATTTCACCCTAAAATAAAAGATGAAAGCAAAGTTGAACATAGACTCTCACCCTTTGGGGCCTTGTGTTTTTTTTAACTTGATATTTGTAAAATTACTATATGCTCTGCAAAGGAATTTTAGTTAATGTTATGATCTCTTTAGAATAATTCAAAATATTAATCCTATATCTTAGGGTATAAAAAAGTAAAAGACATGACTTCTACCCATTTGTATAAGGCTGAACCATAAACAACACCTTCATCAGAGATTTACTTTCTTTCTGCACAAAGACACAGAGGAAATATAACTAATTAAAATGTCAGTATTTACCTAGCAACCAGACATTGATTTTTTTTTTTTTTTTTTGAGACAGGGTCTCCCTGTAGCCCCGGCTGACCTGGAACTCACTCTAGCATTGAAGTCACAGAGATCCATCCATCTCTGCCTCCAAGTTGCTGGGATTAAAGACATGTGCCACCAACGCGGCCAGAAGAGTTGTAAATAGTTTTCATTTCTCATTTGATCTTGTTGTGGTTCACTGTATGGTCA